TGATTATTATATTTATTATTATTAACCTAACAGTGAGGCATAGCTAACACATGTGCAACTAACAATATAATGTTGAAATGTCCAAAATTTGAGAAAAATAATATGATAAATACTAACTAAACTATATATATAGATATATATATAATTCTCGTGTCGTGTTAGTTACCATACATCTCCAAAACGGTTTAACAATTGAGCAAATTTTATATGTACATTCACATATTCGGTAGGTCTGAGAATCTATAATTTATACCGTTAAGTAGTAGGTAAGGCCCTGCCTTACCGCAAAATTTTTATTTTTTATGACGTGGTATTAAAAGTATATACACTCATAAATTTTTATACAACGACCAAACCCTATTTTTATAGCGATTTATTAGTACTTTAATTTATATGGCAAAATAACTTTTGGCGGGTCAGCTAGTTGTTATATCTATTTATGTTAATATTTATAGGAAATATAAACATCTATTAAAAAAATGTGCACGTACTCAGTTTTTATTTTACATTCTGGGTCATCAGCGGTTCGTAGTGCCTGTGGATCAGAATGGAAAAAACTATCTCAGTTAAAGAACACGTAAAGTTGTGGGGGACCGGTACTCCCTCGAGTAAGAAGGACAGAAGGAGAATAAGTGGAGATATTCGACTTACCACCAATTATTTAGTCTCCAGCAGTGCTATCTGTTTTGCTTCTGTAGGTTTTTTTTAGTGTATGATAATGGAATGATGCACCAGCCTGCGCTAACGGTTTCCGCTGGTGGGGAACCAGTGGAGGATGATAGAATATAGAGATAGATATATGAATATGAAGTCAGGTCTGACCCAGCGTGATAAATTCACCGGAAATTTATCAGGATGATTTTAAAGGAGAACCGCGTGGAGGTCGACCTGACAAAACATTGCTAGCAATGGGATCATCAGTCCACATTACTAACAATCCCCTTCCAGGGGGGAAGGCGATTCTGTAGGTCTATTATTTCATATTTGAGTTTGATATTAATAAATTCTTCTATAAATATCAGCGTCTCATACGTATGAAATAGCGAGGACGAGACCATGGTACAATACTAGATTATGGTATGACTAACATAGTTTTATTTATTTATTTAGGGTTACTAACAATTGTTACAATCATATAATTTATTTAATTACATCTAAATGTAGAATTATTTATAGAGAAATAATATACATCTTCTTCCTTATCCCATTTATTTGTGGTCGGCGTAATATGTTTTACTCTTCCATTCATCCCTGTTCGCAGTCATCTCGTTATTTACTGCATTTCTATATGCAAAATAATATACAAAATTTATATAACAAATATATTTATATTTTTAGCTTAGTGACTAATGTCCTATGTGAATAAATAATTCTGAATTAGAATTTTCAATTATAACTTGTTTATGTATATACTCGCCTATGCATACTTCCGGAGACTTGATACCTCCATCAGATAACGTGACATAAGCTCGTGTGAAAGGCCAACCTGGTCCTGTCCCGGCACCTTCATCCTTTCACTTTCGCATTATCTTTATATATAAAAATAACGTGTCACGTTGTTTGTCCGCGATGGACTCCTACTACTGAACCGATTGCAAATTTGATTTGCACATTGTGTGCAATTTGATCCAATTTGTAAGATATCCTATCTTACAAATTGGATCAAATTGCACAGATTACATCTCAATTTATAGTCGCAATATTATTTAACCTTAGCCACTGCAACGCGTGGCCGGGTCCTAGTATCTATATATACATATATGTTATATTTAAATTGTATTGTATTTTTAAATTTTTCTTCGACACTTTTACCCAGATAGACTTAGTCCAGATATACTCGTAAAGTCGCGTGCGTGGACAGACAGACAGACAGACAGACCTCGCACCTATGTTACTGCCACACAGCTTGTTTTGTTAGATTACAGTTAAAGAAGTTGCATCATCAGAGCTAGCCTAGGCTGAACAGATCTTGTATTATACGTATTTACGATACATTTTTTTTATGATGTGCTACTTCTACGTAAATCAGATAATGAATCAATAAATAACCCTGGACCATTACCACATCGCTGTCTAGTCCCACGGTAAGCAGAGCTTGTGTTATGGTTACTAGATAACTGATATAAATACTTGAATGTTTTTTTGTAAATACATACTTAAAATACATAGAAAACACCCAGACCTATACAAACAATCATACTCATGAATACAAATGTTTGTAACGAGCGAGGAATCGAAACCGCGACCATCGGAAGTAAAGCGGTGTGCTAAACTGCTAGTCTACATAAGCTGTTAAATATTATATTGAATCTAGTCGCCCTCTAATAATTGTCAACATGATAAGACATATAAATGTTTACCAAATAATTTTTACAACATCACAACCAACTTCTAATGTTTATTCAGTCATTCGTGCCATATCCAAATCAATTAGCCTAGAAACTTTTTCCTTACATAAACATCCACTGAAACTTTTTTCTTCACTTGTCGAGGTCAGGGTCTAATGCCATACCAAGGTACGCAAACAGGAGATCAGAATGTAATAGGCGATTATTGAGCAAACTGCTATTTAGTTTTGCAATAAATCTTTATATGTAAAATTTGCGTGTCACGTTGTTTGTCCGCGATGAACTCTTAAATTACTGAACCGATTACAAATTTGATTTGCACATTGTGTGCCATTGGATCTAAAGAATCAGAAACATCTGAAAATTGGATCAACAATTTGAAAGATAGGATAGCTTACATCTCAATTTATAGTCGCAATATCATGTTGTTCGAAAACCTTAGCCGCAGCAACACGTGGCCGGGTCTGTGTTCGAAAGATCGAAAGCAATGATGTAAGAATATTTTGAATTTGTCAAAATATATATATGAAAAGTCTGCGCCTTTGCAGCCATATGTTTTTTTTTAAATCTCAACTACGTCTTTTTCTTACGATTCGATTCGATTCTTTCTTTCTTACGATTCGAATCTTGCACAATATTTAGATTTGAATTACGTTCTGATGGTCGTCGATGGGTTATTAAAAGACAAAGAAAGTTCAATTAACTTATTCATTTTATTCTAATTACAATTAGGAATCAAGATTCGACTTATAAATATATTAACATCCGTCCGTCCACCTGCCGTTCTGTGTTCTCGTACCTCTTGGATGCCGTTCTTTTGAGTAATCAACTGTTGGAAAGTATTGGGACATACTTTCCAAGAACGGCATTACTATAATTGGCTAAGATTAGTAAAATTGTAAATTACTAATATAAGCTGTTGTTATCCCGAAATAAATAAAAAAAAAATAATAAAGAACAATCGTTGTATCCAGGCCGATTGTAACTACAAGTAGGTAGTTGTATGGGTTTGTACCCGTAACATTTGTAAATGGGTATGGTTATTTGTATTTCTCCGACATAAATACAAACAGACATACTCATGTTTTTGTATTATTTTATGATATTAATCATATGCGCGTTTTTTATATTATGTTATTGTACAATCTATGAGTTACCCATAATATCTGCTCTATTCAGTTTGGGACTAGATAGCGCTGCGTGAATCGTTCGTGACTATTATTTTCTTGCTACGCTATGCTATGATAATAATACATTACATACATAAGTACATAAAAAAAGAGTATCAGTAATGGAAAAGGTTTTTTAAAAAGTAAACGAGATCATAACGTCATTATTACGTCATTCGACCATCGGTTCAATGATGTACAGTCCGTTTTCTGTTTCTTTGTTGGACTCCATTCAAATATGGCTTTAGTTCATCAGTCGGACACTTATTATTTATTAGTGATTGGTTCATTCATTATTTACAACCTTGTAATACTTTTCTATTTCTGGAGTCAATAATTCGAAATAGAAATAATAATAACCATAAGTCCCAAAGCCATCTAGTCCCAAGCTAAGTAGAGCTTGTGTTATGGGTACTAGACAACTGATATAAATACTTAGAATTTTTTTATGTAAATACAGACATAATACACATAGAAAATACCCAGACCGATACAAACAATCATACTTATAAATTTTTGTATCGTACAAGGATTCGAACCCGCAAACATCGGAAGAAAAGCGGTGTGCTCACCCGCCAGACCACCGAGTCCGTCATAGACTTATACTTTAGTTAAGTTTAGTAAATTATTTTACTTATCTTCAGTTTGTCTTATAATTCGAATAGATCAATAGTTCTATACAAAATAAGTACATTAAACGTATAACGTATGGCAGAATTTGTCTTTCTCTCAAAACAAAATCTTCAAGTGTCGAAAGATTATAATGTTAATTAGATTTGTAAATACTCAACCGAACAAATGATTTCATCTGACCCAGTAAACTCAGGTCAACAATCACACGGTATGTATTTACTAAGAATTTCATATTATGAAAGTGTGAGAGTGAGATTTGGTCTAAACAATGTTTATAAGGCCAAACAAAGAGTATATAGTGACGGCCTCGGTGGTCTAGCAGTTTAGCACGCTGGATTACATCCGGTCGCGGGTTCGATTACTCGCACGGCACAAACTTTCTTTATATGGTATAAAATGAAGTTGTATTCACTGTGTTCACTTAGATCTTTTAACTACGCAACGGATTTTAATGCTGTTTTTAACAGCAGATAGAATGAATAAAGGGGAAGGTATATGTCTAATGTACACCCGTGCGAAGCCCTGCCTAGTGGAATTATATAATACTAGCTGTACTCGCGACTTCGTCCGCGTGCAATTTAATAAAAATTTAATTAGAAAAAAATTCGAAAATAAAAGTAGCCTAAGTTACTCCTTGTTACATCAGCTACCTGCTAAAAGAAGTCCCGTCAAAATCGGTCCAACCATTTCAGAGATTAACCGGAACAGACAGTTTTTTTTTAAATATTATCTTGATGTATGTACCGTATTTATATATGCATGTAGTAAAATGGTTATTTCAATATTACAAACAGACACTCCAGTTTTATTTATATGTATAGATTAATAACATTCCTTTTTGTCCTAACAGCGAGATGAAGAAAAAGCTAGCCTGATAGCCGAACTAACAGCTCAAAACTCGAGGTTGACAGCTCAACTGAAAGAATCTTCTGCAGTTGAAGCACAACTAATGGCACAGTTGGAGGGACTGAAGGATCAGTGTTCAATGAGGAAGACTAGTTTACAGGTAATTCTAGAAAGTTCTAATTTAATATAATTGAAATTATATTAGAAAATCAAGCAATAGAAATACAACTCATTTAGTTATTATACAGTAATAATATTTGTATTCTCGTATATTTATATTTATATTTAGGCTTCTTTGTATTAAGTTTTATAAAGAATTGAATTTCATAATATACATTTCCTATCGTTAGCATTCTAAAAGTACTCTTCCATTGCTTGATGCAACTGCGAACAATTTTTTGATCAACGAAGATTGTTTACCTGTGTATATTGAAACATTTTGACTTTTGGTCTTTAAAACGAAATTTATAATAACTTAAACGATTAGATATCTAAGTAATAAATTAGTTAACAAAATAATTAAATTTAATTCATTCATTTCACCATTTTCTACTCAGGATCATGTGCACAGTTTGGAGTCACTCAAAGCAGAACTTGCGCTTGTCAGTGATAAGAAAGCGGACCTAGAAAGGAGGCTGACCACATCACTTCACGACAAAGACAATCTGATGCAGCAACTAGATGAAGCAAACGATAGAATTGTGGCTTTGGAGAGGCAATTGAAAGAACAGGTAAGAAAATATAGAAGAAATAAATTATAAGTATCTATCTAAAAGCCCTAATAATGGGCTACTCGAATCAATACTCCAACAGACTATAGCTATTGTGTGAAAATATTATATGTATCATGACTAAGGCCCTCACTGGACGGTCGCGGGTTCGATTCCTCGATTGTTACAATTATTTGTATGTACAAAAAACAAGTATTTACTTTAGTAGTCTAGTACCCGTAATACAAGCTCAGCTTAACTTGGGACTAGATAGCGCTGTGTGAATTGTCTAATGATATTATTATTACTTACTATTACTATTACTTTGTTACATAGTATAAAATTAAGTCGATTTCGCTGTCTGGTCGCTTAGATCTTTTAAACGCAACTGATTTTAATACAATTTTTAGGAATAGATAGATTGATTCAAGAGAAAGGTTTATACATATATGTAATACGTGCGAAGCAGGGGCGGGTAGTTGTTTATATAAGCAATCGACTATAGCGACTCGTATTTATCATTCCAACTAAAACCTACTTACCTAAACTATTAATTAACATTAGAAGCCTATTTCGTTCGTTTTCGCAAACAAGTATTTACTCATTATTGAATATAGGTAGATTGGCATTGGCTACCAAGAGTACAAATGAAAGTAGGTCAAATTGAAGTGGGATTGTGTGATAAGATCATTCGACGGACAAACCGAGATTTCGTTCAATACAAACACATTGCTATCTGCAGAGCTATTCTGTAAGATTCAATTCGATTGCGGAATTCATTAGAGTTAAATTGCATTTCTTGCCAGTTCTTCTCAATTGGATCTATGTACCGAACTGGACAGTAGGGAAAAAAAAATTATAATGTAAAAATTTACGTTCATAAGCGGCTAAAATGTCCTACATGAATAAATGATATTTGAATAGAATAGAATAGAATAGAATAGAAAATCATTTATTCAAATAAACTTAATTTAAGCACTTTTGAATAGTCAACATTTTTTTAAACCTACCGCTTATTCGGAAAGCTGTCTCATCACAAGAAGAATAAGCAAGAAACTTGTGTGTTGCTCTCTTAAACAATCCTTGTAAGTTCACATTTTACAAGTCGAAACGTGTGATTGATTGAATTTGAATCAGCGGTGAGATTGTACATTGGTTTTCTGTAGAACTCGATAGCGACTGCAGTGCCATAGACTCGGAAAGCGGGATGGAGGTAAAACAAGCAACTATACTGTGTGCTCTGTAGCATGGTGCGGATGACAGCTACTAATTTTAAATTTAACAATTGCTACATTTAAGTTAATACAGTTATTAATGATTTAATACATATATTACAAAAATGGTATAGCTGAAACACTAAGTCATAATTTGTAAATCGCGACAACATTTAAGCGTGAAACGAAACATTAATGAAACTGTCACCAAGAACTTTGGCACCCCGTTACAGTACACATGTTATAGTGATTTTACAATTGCTACATTTAAGTTAATACAGTTATTAATGATTTAATACATATATTACAAAAATGGTATAGCTGAAACACTAAGTCATAATTTGTAAATCGCGACAACATTTAAGCGTGAAACGAAACATTAATGAAACTGTCACCCGCACCCCGTTACAGTACACATGTTATAGTGATTTTACAATTGCTACATTTAAGTTAATACAGTTATTAATGATTTAATACATATATTACAAAAATGGTATAGCTGAAACACTAAGTCATAATTTGTAAATCGCGACAACATTTACGAGTAACAAACAAACGAAACATTAATGAAACTGTCACCCGCACCACGTTACAGTACACATGTTATAGTGAATCATATTTTACAATTGCTACATTTAAGTTAATACAGTTATTAATGATTTAATACATATATTACAAAAATGGTATAGCTGAAACACTAAGTCATAATTTGTAAATCGCGACAACATTTAAGCGTGACTTAACGAAACATTAATGAAACTGTCACCCGCACCCCGTTACAGTACACATGTTATAGTGATTTTACAATTGCTACATTTAAGTTAATACAGTTATTAATGATTTAATACATATATTACAAAAATGGTATAGCTGAAACACTAAGTCATAATTTGTAAATCGCGACAACATTTAAGCGTGAAACGAAACATTAATGAAACTGTCTGGTCCTGTGAAACGCACCCCGTTACAGTACACATGTTATAGTGATTTTACAATTGCTACATTTAAGTTAATACAGTTATTAATGATTTATTACATATATTACAAAAATGGTATAGCTGAAACACTTAAGTCATAATTTGTAAATCGCGACAACATTTAAGCGTGAAACGAAACATTAATGAAACTGTCACCCGCACCCCGTTACAGTACACATGTTATAGTGATTTTACAATTGCTACATTTAAGTTAATACAGTTATTAATGATTTAATACATATATTACAAAAATGGTATAGCTGAAACACTAAGTCATAATTTGTAAATCGCGACAACATTTACGAGTAACAAACAAACGAAACATTAATGAAACTGTCACCCGCACCACGTTACAGTACACATGTTATAGTGATTTTACAATTGCTACATTTAAGTTAATACAGTTATTAATGATTTAATACATATATTACAAAAATGGTATAGCTGAAACACTAAGTCATAATTTGTAAATCGCGCAACATTTAAGCGTGAAACGAAACATTAATGAAACTGTCACCCGCACCACGTTACAGTACACATGTTATAGTGATTTTACAATTGCTACATTTAAGTTAATACAGTTATTAATGATTTAATACATATATTACAAAAATGGTATAGCTGAAACACTAAGTCATAATTTGTAAATCGCGACAACATTTACGAGTAACAAACAAACGAAACATTAATGAAACTGTCACCCGCACCACGTTACAGTACACATGTTATAGTGATTTTACAATTGCTACATTTAAGTTAATACAGTTATTAATGATTTAATACATATATTACAAAAATGGTATAGCTGAAACACTAAGTCATAATTTGTAAATCGCGACAACATTTAAGCGTGAAACGAAACATTAATGAAACTGTCATCCGCACCACGTTACAGTACACATGTTATAGTGATTTTACAATTGCTACATTTAAGTTAATACAGTTATTAATGATACTATATTACACAAATGGTATAGCTGAAACACTAAGTCATAATTTGTAAATCTCGACAACATTTACGAGTAACAAACAAACGAAACATTAATGAAACTGTCATCCGCACCACGCTACAGTGCACATGTTATAGTGTTTTTTTTTTAGAAATATACGCAAACTCGATAATTCAGTAGGAACTTTATATTTGACAAGAGTGAGTGGCTCGCGTGAAGCGATAAGTGAAATGAGTTGATAAAACCGTTACAGAATACCAATACTGATACGAGTAATTCATTGCAACATATTAGTAAGAGATATTTATTTGGTTTGTAATCTTCAAATCTTATCTGAACTTAATGAAGTAATTAATAATTAATTTAGATTCTATACGGTAGTATATCGGTGTATAGTTTTTTATTTATATTTTGATATCTTAACAGGGAGATCGTACACAGTCATCTTCGTTGTTACCTCACCTAGTTCTAATGTCACATAGTTAAAAAAATACAGTCAGCAATAGGGTCGCCTTGTATATATACACATATGTTTAGCTTATTACTTACCTGTATCTATTTTATCCTTGTATAATGCAAAATATGTTTTAACTATCTTAAAAATATTGTAAAAACAAGAATTTCTTTCTAATCAGCAGTGCTCATATATATTAGAAATAATCTCTATTCAAATAGCATAAAGATTATTTCTATTTTAGGATTATAAAGGGTTATCCACGCCTATTACGAATCTGAAAGTGTATCGATATATATGTATGTATATTTGTCGGTTTACTTATATTATATTAAAAAAAATTTTCTATTTCTATTTTAGGAATAAAAGGGATTATCCCTGCAAATATTATAAATACGAAAGTGTGTCGCTATATCTGTCTGTTTATTATCTTGTTACAACTAAACGGCTGAACGATTCTCAATTAAATTTTAAGTTATGATGGATTGTATTACGAAGACGGATACATACATGTTCGTTGCATCGTCTAAGAATAATTTATTTCTCTATCCACCCAAAGGTACTCTGGAAGAGATTGCTTAGCGATAATGCCGTCTTTTTGTGTAATTTCCATTTAATGTATATTTTATTTTATTTTATTCTTGTTCTGTAATTGGTACAATAAAGAGTATTGGTACGTGATGATGCGGCCCGAATGCTCAGATGGTAGGTTTGATGGCTTTAGCAGATTACAGGGTTGTTGAAAATGATAGAATTTGCTTACTATCTTAAATTTAATGGTAAATATACTATTATAAATTACAATTTTGGTGGAGTGAACAAAAGTACGTTAGATCGGTCGGTTGATATTTTAAGTCTGTGTCGTTACGTAGCGAATACAAAATTGGATGGGTGTGCGCTCCAATCAGAACGCTCCCTTTGCGTTGCGTTTTGTTGCTGCTTGTACGCGACAAGTATAAATAAAAAAAAATCCTGGAAGAAATCGCTTTTAAGCGATAAGGCCGCCATTGTTGCCTCTTCCCTTTGAGAATGTATGTTTATACATATTTATACTTATTTATATATTAATAGTGTATATAAGTGTTTGTTTGTATTCTATAAGAAGAATGATAAAGAAATTTCATTTCATTTCAATAATTTCATAAAATTCCCGTAAATATATTTTCTTTCATAAATCCTTTTGTGTCGTAATAACTCTTAACATTAAGGCAGCGTCAGGGCCACACGCATCTAATACGGTCCGTATTAGATGAAACTCTTTACCTTGTCAGTCCGATTGGAAATCTCGTGAGCGTTCAATAAGTAGAACTGATTGGCACATTAATGGTACACCAATAGTGAACGAATTGGTTGTTTAGAAAAACGTATTTGTAGCTTCTGAAACGATTGCGTTTTTATAAAAGACATAATTTTTAAAAAGGAATAAATTTAGGAATTAAAGTAACATTACTTACAGAGACATTTACAACATTGACGACCTCGGTGGTCTAGCGGTCTAGCACACCGCTTTACGACCAATGGTCGCGGGTTCGATTCCTCGCACGGCACAAACTTTTGTATTCATGAGTATGATTGTTTGTATCGGTCTGGGTGCTTTCTATGTATAATATGTATGTATTTACAAAAAAATATATATGTATCAGTTATCTAGTACTCATAACACAAGCTTTAGCTAGCTTAACTTGGGTCTAGATGGCGCTGTGTGAATTGTCCTGAGATTATTATTATTATTATTACTTACTATTTACCAGGACTCGAACCCTTTTTTTTCTATAACGGTCTTTATTCATACGGCCTTGATGGTCTAGCAGTTTACCACTTCGCTCTATTTCCGATGTTTTCGGGTTCGCTTTCACGGAGGATGCAACAAACATTTGTTTTTCTGGGTATGATAGTTTATATTGGTCTGTATACTCGTATATTATGTATGTAATTTACAAAACAAATTACATGAGTATTTCTGTCAGTTGTGTTGTACAAGCTCTGTTTTGCTTACAACTAAATGGTTCTGTGTGAATTATCAAAGGTTAATTTATGCGATTTAATAGGTTTAAATAAAGTCGTGTGTTTTTTAACAGTTTCTTTAACTGGCGTTTCTTGTTTAGGAACACCTTTATCACAACACACTCAAGGAGTTGGAACGTCTCCAAAGATCTCATGACACTCTTGCTGAACGAATTGGTGCACCAGATCCTGTCGACACAACAGATCCTGCCAGGTCACTTCATGCTGAAATGGAATCTGAACCAGAAGACCAGGATGACGGCTGGCTGAGGAGCGAAGCAGTTCAAGTATATAAGCAGCTGAGAGCGTTGGCTTTGCAGTTGAACACCGGACATGATGATGATTCAGGTAAGAAGTTTGAATCATAATAACTTGAATATTCTAGCAGTTCACTGCCCTTCCATAACATCTTGTTGATAAGAATGTAGTAGGTATTTAAAAACTTAACTACACAAAATGGTTTAAATTTAAAAATTCTTCTTCATTACATGGTATAAAATAAAGTCGCTGTCGCTATCTGTCCATGCATATGTATGCTTAACTCTTTAAAACTACGGAACGGATTTTAAGCGGTTTCTTTTAATAGATAGAGTGATTCAAGAGGAAGGTTTATATATATAATACATGTACACCCGGGCGAAGCTGGGGCGAGTAGCTAGTATTATATGAAACAGTCGTGTCACGTTTGTCCACGATGTAATCCTAAACTACTGAACAGATTTTGATGAAATTTTATATGTATTCTCGGTAGGTCTGAGAAAAGGACGTAAAGTTTTTTATACAGCGATAAAGTTTCTCAAGGCTTTTCAAAAAAAATTTCTTAATATTTTTGACTTATTTTATTTTTGTGATTCGTTATTAAAAAATAGAAACAACTTTATATTTTTACTCTTTTACTATTAACCCCTATTTTGCAGGGACTGCAAGTGTATATATAAAAATCTCGCAACACAATGTTACTTTGGGATTAAATTCAAGTAACTTAAAAGATATTTAAGAATAGTAATATTACTGGATGGCCAATTAAAATATAGAAAAATGTATTTTTATACGTAGAAAATAATAATTAGCATGTAGATGAATAATATAATCAAAACAGGCAAGTGACGTATATAAGTTGACTGAACTCAACGTTGTGCACGTCATTCTAAGGCTTTATATTGAAAAACAAGTAAGATAGAGTAAATGTAATTTCACTAAAATAGCAAATAATTCCACTTTTTGTACCAACTGAGTGTAGTAGACATGGTGACAGCTTACCTGTTCCTTTTAAATTTCTAACGATAAATCAGTTACGTTTTTTACTTTATGTTTTAGATTATTTATTTAAAAAAAAAAAAAATTCAAAATATCTTTATTCATGTAGGTCTATTACAGACTCTTATGATATGTCAAATCTACCGTCAGTTCGGAATGATTTCGAGATGAGAAGAACTGACAAGAAACTCAGCTCGTATTTTTTTTTTAATGTTGTACATATTTACAATAATACTATTTCATTTAAATTCAAATTTGGGAGAATAGAGTGACCACCAGCATATGCTATATAAAAAAAAAAAAAAATAAAAAAATCTAATCAGTGTTCGCAACCTGAACAGACAAGTCCCCACAAGCAGCACTCGTTCACGAGTATGACGGATGAGCCAACCATCATTGCACTCAACCATATTAGAGGGAGCACATCGACATATTGTTTATTATGTTGTTTAATATAGTAGTAGGGACGTCGATATGTGTCAATAACCATTACATGTTAGTTTATGATTTTTTTATTACTTGTCTATTAGTTTAAACACTACATATATAGCGTATCCGATACAAGTCAAAAATATTCATATTAGACTATTTCGCCCGTTTATACATGTAAATTTTTATCAATACCCCTACCATCCAGTTCGGCTAGCTACTTCAGTTGAGTAGAACAGGCAAGAATCTCAGCTGGATCGTTCTTTAAATTAGTTTCATTCTTAAAAAAATAATATAGTTCAAATGTTTGTTTAAATACAATACATGTACCTAATATATTCAAAACAACATGGTAAATAGTTATCGAAGTCTATGGACACCTGAAACACCAGGGGTGTCACGTGCGCATTGCCAATCCTTAAGAAACCTTAATATATCCTTCTTGAAAAACCTATGCTGTAGTAGAGAAAACCTCAGCAAGAATTAACGATTCCACAATTTAAGTGTACGCAGGAGGAAGCTCCTCTGCAACCGCACTGTCCGAGACCACTTAGGTTCCAGCGTAGGGATGAATTCCCTGTCGATGGCAAGCGGTGCGATGGTAAAAGATAGCCGTAGGCATCATGTCGAAAAATTTTTATACAGAAATCAAATCTGTAGAACATAACTTGACGGCCTCGGTGGTAAAGCGGTTTAGAACACCGTCTTACTCCGATGGTCACGGGTTCAAAAGCACATGGCACAAACATTTGTATTCATGAGTATGATTGTTTGTATCGATCTGGGTGTTTTCTATGTATAATATGTTTTATATATAAAAAAAAATCTTTGTATTAGTTGTCTAGTACCCATGACACAAGCTTTAGCTACCTTAACTTGGGTCTAGATGGCGCTGTGTGAATTGTCCTGAGATTATTATTTTTATGGGAAACCTTGTTCCAAATATCACGGCTTCTCATAAATGCTCGCCAGCTCCATGACGTATGGGGGCACAAAAAATCGAAAGCTATTAATTTCCGACCTCCATACGTCGCAAGTAAATTCGTTGTAACCCAAATAACAAGTTTCGATATCTATCACGCGAGAACATCGATCCATGCTGTTAAATGAGGTTAGAATCTCTTTACACGGTTTATTAATATGGCAATTGAATTCAAATTTGTTTATTTCTTGTTGACTCTTAAAATATTGTCGTAAATGTTAGAGATTAGCTCTTTTGGTAAGTTTGCTATTTGTTGTGTCTTATTTTGTTTTTCTTTCACTATGAATACCTCTAGTTCATATTTTGTTTTAATTTCCTCAATACACATTCCTGAATATCTATCTATCTTTTCATGAATGTTATGGGACTAGTTCAAATTATGTTTTATTGTTCTCGTACGTTTTATTGTTTGTTGTACGTTTTATTTTTTATTATTTGTACGTTCCCAGTATTACCAGTACTGGTACTGGTAATACTGGCAATTAACAGGTTATTAACTGGTTATTAACAGTACCACTGGGCGGATCGGGATAAAATTTGGCATGCAGGTAGATGTTATGACGTAGGCATCCGCTAAGAAAGAATTTTGATTAATTCTACCCCCAAGGGGATAATATAGTGGACGAAAGTTTGTATGAAACTGGGCTGAGATTTTGAATGCATAAAGCTACCCATAGACATGATTTTGATAGATTCCACCCCTAAGGGGATAAATTAACGCGAGCGAAGCCGCGGGCAAAAGTTAGTATTATATAAACGTAAAATTATTATATACACTCTAATCGCCGTATCAATGTAATGTTAACTGTCAAACTTGCTTTGATTTCCACGATATAGGCATGGCCTAGTATGGAATCATAGTTACAATGTTACTTAAGTTAAGTTTTATGAAATAAATATTATTCTTATTCGTTACAAAGTCTCCTATTGTTATTACTTTACTAAAAATGTAGTTTTGTTTGTATTTGAAGGTGTTCATGTTACGTCTTCATTAAGAATCCCTAAGTGTATGAACCCTGGAAGTATAAATTTATATAAGATCATAAACCTTGTCGATAGCAACAAAATACACAAATTACATTATCTCGATTTCAATTGCGAAAAGAAGGTAAAGCCGGCATCTAACCAAAGCGTAGGTACTAGCTTTACCTCCTTTTGGCTATCGAAATTAGGTTTCAATATGGCTTCCATAAGCCGACTCATGAAATCCTATTATGTGGATTTTGAATAGACTTCTGGACAATCCAATAACCAAATTAGCAAAATATCAGTCAGCCAATTCCTCGTCTAAATGAATCGCGTGATCATTATGTAGAGCGGACACGACGTTGCAAACGTGATCCAACAATATATTAACAGTGAAGACAAGTTAAACATTACAATACCTATCATCAATATAGACTTTATTACAACGGACGAGGGGCTATGTTGCTTCCTTTGTGGTCAACCGCGCAACCTTTTTAAATGTCTTATTGAATGGGATCATTGTTTAAAGGCCAATGTTATTATAATGAGCAAGGTCTTGATCGTCTCACCAATAATCGTAATCAGTGAAATGACTGCGCTTATATGGCAGTTTATAAATATCAAACCAATGCAGATTTTCGTGATCGTTTTGGAATCAAAACAAAAGCTTTATTGAAACATCGTGGCGAGCAAGGTTTATAAACTATTTCTCTTTTGAAAGTCAAATAATTGAATTTTGCTTGCATACAATGGTCTTCTAAAATTTCTCGAGTTTATAAATTGATATTTATTGTAATTCGAAGTCAAATATCTTTATTATCTTTATGATATTGGTATTTAAGAAAAAAGAATATGGCGGTAGTAAACGATTTTAGAAAATTGATCGTTTATAGTATACATTCTAGAGACCGGGTTGTACCGTCGGCTTTATGGCCTCCCTTTTATTAATATATTTGGTTTAGGTTTCTCTTAGCGATTTAGCACAGCACTTTACTTCCGATGTACTATCACAAATGTCATTTTGTCCAGAAGGCGAAGACAGTTGGTGTAAATGGCGTAATGAAGCTAATAATGAACTGGACCAATTTCATCGATTCAAGTCCAAGAAGCTATCAAACCGGTTTTCGCAGACACAAAACAATAACGAATCTTTGAATTCTTTGAGCTCCTAAACATCTTACAAACATTCGTATTCATGAGTATGTCGTTGATTGTCTGTATCGCCGATTGAGAGTAAGTTGATATTTTAATAGTTTTTCTGGGCGTATCTTCGAATTACTTGAAATTTACAGGACACACATATATGTAAACGTGGAATGTCGAAAATTTTCAAAAATTTTTTTTACAAACAAAAAAAAAAAAAATTTCTATATATCAAAAATCCAATTTTTTTTATATTCAGTTGTCTACAAATTAAAACGCCGTTTTTTTTTTTTTTTTCAGATAAGCCGATCAGCCGGAATCGTGGAGGAAGTGGGAGCTCCTTTTTTCGAGGCGGGGGTGTTCAGAGCGCTGTAACTCTAGTTTGACTGAATATTTTTAGCTGAAATTTTATATTTATACTGTCCAAATATGTGTTAATAAATGATAAAAAACTTGAAGCTCTAAATATTTACTGGTCGTAGAAAAAAAATCCTAAAATATTGGGACTAGATGGCGCTCGCACAGTACAAACATTGTTAATGAGTCCAGGTATATTATTATTATTATACTA